CTACATCCCCAAACCAGTTCTTTATATATTAATCCTCTGTTAAAAGAGTAGCTAGCAGGGCCAGGGATTTGGCTTAGCAGTTCTACCACTTGCCTCGCATGCACAAAGACCAGAGTTCAATCCCTGGTACCAAAAAAAAAAAAATCACACAAAAGAGTAGCTAGCAAAGATTTTCTCCCATTCTGTGGGCTATCTCTTCATTCTGTTAATTGTTTTCCTTGTAATGTAGAAACTTTTTAATTTGATGTAGTCCCATTTGTTGATTTTTGCTATTGTTTCCTGTGATGTTGGAGTCCTGTTCAGGAAGTCTTTGCAGGATCCTCTATGTTTTCTTTTAGCAATTTCAAAGTTTCAGTTTTATACCCATGTCTTTGCTCCATTTTGAATCGACTTTTTTAAAGGGTGAGAAGGATCTAGTTTTAATTTTCTACATATGAATATCCAGTTTTCCCTGCACTGTTGGTTAAAGAGGCTGTCTTGTTCAAGGTATGCTTTTAGTTCCTTTGTGAAGAATCAGATGGTTGTATTGGAATGGTTTGTTTCTCTGTCCTCTGTTCTATCTCATTGGTCCCTGTATCTATTTTTATGCCAGTATCATGTTTTTGTTACTATGGCTTTGTAGCATAATTTGAATTAAGGTATTATGATGCCTCCAGCCTTACTTTTTATTTTTTTTGGTACCGGGGATAGAACTCAGGACCTTGCACTTGCGAGGCAGACCTGGTGCCACTGAGCTAAATCCCGGGCCCCAGACTTCCTCTTTTTGCTTAAGATTGCTTTTGGTTGCCCTGAGTCTTTTGTATTTCCATATAAATTTTAGGATTGTTTTTTCTAATTCTGTGAAGAATATCATTGGAATTTTAATGGGGGTTGCATTGAATCTGAACATCACTTTTGGTAATATGGCCACTTTAACAATATCAATTTGACCAATCCGTGAGTATGAGAGGTCTTTCTATTTTCGACTATCTTCCTCAATTTCTTTCCTCAGTGTTCCATAGATTAATTGTAGAGATCTTTTGCCTCCTTGCTTAGATTAGTCACTAGGAATTTTATTATTCTGAAGATATTATAAATGGAATCGTTCTCCCAATTTCTTTCTCTAGTGGCTCATAATTGGTGTATAAAAAGGCTAATGATTTTTAGTGTTGATTTTGTATGGTGAAAGATATTTTTTTTCCACTTTATGTCATCCACTTCCATTGAGTTCTTTTTTGGTTTTTTTAAAATTAATTTTATTGGTACATTTTAGGTATACAATAAAATGACGTTCATAATTGAGAATTTGTACCTTTACATAATATATCTTGGTTCTTATTTTTTTCCCCATTCCCCTGCCCTCTCTTCAACCTCTCCATCCCTCCCTATTTACAAAGACTTTGTTTCCATTTTTCCTTTTCTCATACTTATTCCTTTCCCTTCTTTCCTTTTCCCTACCCCTTCTACTTCCCCTTCCCCTTTGGACCTTTTCTTCCTATTTCACATTATCTATTATACCTTTTGATTCTTATTTATACTTTCAGTTTCTCACACCAGAGAAACTATTCGGTATTTACACATGTGTGTCCTATTTATTTCACTTATGAGTAGGGCCTCAATGT